AAGTAACTCACTGACGTTTCTGGAGTCGGCCCCTTACCAACCCCCATCCCCACCGCACATAATAAAAATGGGTCGAATGAATGAATGAATGAACGAATGAATGAATGGATCATTCCCTGTCCCCCCCCCCCACTTACTAGTTATACAAACTGCTCCGATCATAATTTTCCAATCAGTAAAACAGGGATAAAAAGAGCTACCATTGAGTTGTGAAGGCTTGATTTAGTTTCAAGCTCAAACAGGCCTTTGTAAATATTGGTTCGAACTAAAAGTCAACAACTCTTCCTAGATCCATCAGTGAATTGAAGTCACAGGGCAAATTGCAGCCCCGAAACCCGGAGAGACAGGCAAATGTAGAGCATCAGTTGGACAAGGAATAGAAGTCTCTGAAGTCACAGGAAAACGTAAACTATACTTGACTGATTGCTGGAGGCTGAGCATGAACTTGAGAGATAAAAACTCATAGAGACCCAGTTTTAGCGGGGTCCTCCCATATTCTTGAGCTCCACCCCCCACCCCACTCCCATGTGCTCCATCAGGGAAAGAAAACTCTTCCGTTTTCCCAAGAGATGGGGAAAAGTAACCATTGTGAAACACACCCAGACTGTTTTGCCTCCCAGAGGAATTATTCTACCAGAGCCAAATCTGATTAGGCTCAAGGGCCTTCCTGTCTATTATTAAAGGGGAGCAGGGAAAATGTGTGTATGTGTGGGAGCGGGGCTAAGAAACTCTTTTGAAGGTCATGGCTCAAAGCCTCTGGCCCCTTAAAATGAAAAGCAAACCCTGAGATTTAATCATAATATTATAGAATGTTTCCCCTCCACAATACTGTACAAGCACATCCTCAAGACTCCAGCATAACAGCAGAGGATTATAATTGTATTTAAGAGGGAGTTTCTAGAAAAATGCAAAGACAATAAGATAGAGAAAAATGACGATACTATATGCAATCAAATCTGACACCTACAGGCATAGCAAATGTTAAATAGCCTACTTATCTAACAAATAGCCTGCTTATCTTAGCCAGATAAATATCCATACTTCATACTTCATGTCTGGCTTTCAACAAAAAGTACAAGGCATGCTAAAAGATAGGAAAGAACACAATCTGAAGAAACAAAACAAGCTTGAGAACAGGACTAAGACGTGGCAGAGAATTTGGAGTCATCCGACTAGGAATTTGAAACTACTGTGATTAATATAGTAAGGCTCCTGTGTCCTCTGTTCCTGATACAGAGCTCCAAATTCCCTTGTAATGTCCTGAGTAATAGGGGGTGATGGGAGCATCATTTTATTCTAAAGAGGTGCCACTTGGTAGGCTCCTAGATAGCTTCAGTATTGGGACAGGTCACCAGACAGACTAAGTCTTGTAATGGGTAAAGTCTGGAATTTTCAGCGCATTCCGTGCCCACCTCAACCCCCTGC